AAAGCAGAATATGAAATAAAGCAGAAATGGCAGAGTCGTGTGTTGTGCAGTATATTGTGTATAGTGTACAGTGTGAGCAGTGTACAGTCAGTGTGAAGCAGAATGTATGTGTGTGCCGTGTGTACAGTATATAGCAAGTACAGAGCAGACTATAGTGTGTGCAGTGTACAGAGTACAGAAAAGATAGAACCTAAATGAAAAGTGGAGAAGAAGTGTACCTCCCAGGCTCGCCAGTAGCCACCAAGGAGCTGGCTGCTGTCGCGCGAAGCCGAGCTCATGTACCCGTAGAGAATGGCCAGAGCGGCGCCACCCCAATCATAGTGCAAAATGTCCCGGACGTCCACCAGTGCGCTGAGAAGACAGAGAGGCACGGTGTTCGCCCGGTCGGCGAATATGGTCGTCCCAAACAAGAACATCAAGAAGCCGCGGGCGTACCTCTCCACGTCCTCCGGGGTCATCTGAGCCTCCTCCTCCAACACGGGCTGGACCCTGAACTGTACCTCGAACCAGGAGTACCGCACGAAGCCTGGACGAGCAAGAGGTGGGGCCTCCCCCAGCAGATGGACCTGAGCGGTGGTCCACTCGTCCATATCTATGTCAAAGGGGATCGGATCACCCCCTACCCCGATGCCTGTGAGCATCGAGAAGTCATAAGGGGTCATCGTCATGTCCCCTGCTACGGAAAAGTGGAAAGAATCGGTGGTGTCCCACCACCTCTCCGCCAGAGCGGCCAGGAGAGGTCTGCATGTGGACAGTCTGGAGAGCCCTCGGCAGAAGGCGCCGAAGCCCGCCCGGTCCACTATGCGTCGGACTGCGTCAGGGAGCTCATCACACCACTCCCGAGCGCCAGTATTCCCATACCCACGGATGGTATGGGAACCCTCCTGCAAACAGAAAATAACAATTGCAAAGCAACATTCAAAATGCAGTTTTGAAAAGCATACAGATAAAGCATGTGTGCAAGTTTGACAGATTTTGACAAATACCGGGTGCCGGTGTGCTTACAGTGAACTACAGCGTGTGATGTGTCAGCGTGTTTGGGTGGTTCCGATCAGATAAAGCATGTGTGCAAGTTTGACAGATTTTGACAAATACCGCGTGTCGGTGTGCTTACAGTGAAATACGTGTGATGCGTCAGCGTGTTCAAGTGGTTCAGTACAGTATAACATGTATGCATATGTTCAGATTTTGACAAATACCGGGTGCCGGTGTGCTTATAGTGAACTACAGTGTGGGATGCGTCAACATGTTTGAGGGGTTCAGAACAGATATAGCATGCGTGCAAATTTAACAAGATTCAGACAAATACCGGGTACCGGTGTGTTTGCAGTGAAAAACAGTGTGCGCCGTGTGTTTAAGTGATTCGGGGTTAGTGCAGTATGTGTGCATGTGCCAATCTCAAACAGATGTCAGTTGCATGTATGTTTACAGTCAACTACAGTCTACGGTATATCAGATTTCAGCAGTTAAAGAATACAACTAGCTACAGCAGTTTTGTATCCTACATTGCGGAAAGTAAAGCAGAAGACGATGAGTTACCTCGGAAGTGCTGAAGGACCGATGAGAAGTAGGCTCGCGCAGCAATAGCTCGGGCGCCACGTGCCTCTCGAAGCTCCGGAACTGGCGCAGACTGTCGGGGGGCAGAACATGGACCGCCGGTCGGTAGGTCGCCGGGTCGAACGGGCGCTCGCTCAATTGGTGTAAATTACATCATAAGGTGGAAATTACATCATAGATTGGTGTAAATTACATCATAAGGTGGAAATTACATCATAGATTGGTGTAAATTACATCATAAGGTGGAAATTACATCATAGATTGGTGTAAATTACATCATAAGGTGGAAATTACATCATAGATTGGTGTAAATTACATCATAAGGTGGAAATTACATCATAGATTGGTGTAAATTACATCATAAGGTGGAAATTACATCATAGATTGGTGTAAATTACATCATAAGGTGGAAATTACATCATAGATTGGTGTAAATTACATCATAAGGTGGAAATTACATCATAGATTGGTGTAAATTACATCATAAGGTGGAAATTACATCATAGATTGGTGTAAATTACATCATAAGGTGGAAATTACATCATAGATTGGTGTAAATTACATCATAAGGTGGAAATTACATCATAGATTGGTGTAAATTACATCATAAGGTGGAAATTACATCATAGATTGGTGTAAATTACATCATAAGGTGGAAATTACATCATAGATTGGTGTAAATTACATCATAAGGTGGAAATTACATCATAGATTGGTGTAAATTACATCATAAGGTGGAAATTACATCATAGATTGGTGTAAATTACATCATAAGGTGGAAATTACATCATAGATTGGTGTAAATTACATCATAAGGTGGAAATTACATCATAGATTGGTGTAAATTACATCATAAGGTGGAAATTACATCATAGATTGGTGTAAATTACATCATAAGGTGGAAATTACATCATAGATTGGTGTAAATTACATCATAAGGTGGAAATTACATCATAGATTGGTGTAAATTACATCATAAGGTGGAAATTACATCATAGATTGGTGTAAATTACATCATAAGGTGGAAATTACATCATAGATTGGTGTAAATTACATCATAAGGTGGAAATTACATCATAGATTGGTGTAAATTACATCATAAGGTGGAAATTACATCATAGATTGGTGTAAATTACATCATAAGGTGGAAATTACATCATAGATTGGTGTAAATTACATCATAAGGTGGAAATTACATCATATATCAGGTAGTATATCAAGCAGATTCTGAGACCATTATTCATGTATTGCTTCATTGTCCCTTTATCTGGAAAATTTGGTCCAACATCATAGATTGGTGGGGTTTATATTGGGTATGCTCAGGCTCTGTGGCAGACTTACTTGTTTGGTGGTCTGGTACTAAAATCAGAAAGAAAGAACTCCAAATTTGGAATGCCATCCCACTTGCTGTCATGTGGTCAATTTGGCAGCCTAGGAATGATTGTGTGTTCAATAGTGCTCATCCTAACTTGATGGAGATCTGTGAGCTTATCAAGATTAGAGTTGCAATCTGGTTGAAGTGCCATTCAATTGGGAACTCTTACTCCATTCATGACTTTGTATCCAATTTGAACCAGATTAGAAGGTGCATTTGATAGATTAATTACTTTGCTGATGTTTTGTTCTGCTGTAATACTCTACTGTTCGTCTATTTTGTTCACTCATTTGTGTTGCTACCATACTCTGCTATTCAGCTTTCTGCTCAATTATCTAATATGTGATAAAGGTTGTCTGCTGGTTTCTCATGGAGGATTGTTGTCTGTTGATTTCTATGTCTGTTGATTTCTATGCATGCTGTTTGTTTTTTGTGGGCAGAGGAGATTCATGGAGGATTGTTGTCTATGATGAATGTTGTCTGTTGATTTCTCATACTATGCATGCTGTTTGTTTCTTGTGGGCAGAGGAGATTCATGGAGGGTTATTGTCTGTGATGAAAGTTGGTTGTCTGTTCTCTGCTGTTTGTTTCTCTTCTTTGTTTGTGGAATGGTGGAGTTATTGATAGGTATAGTGTTTTATTGGTGAAATCAACTTGTATGGGAGTGGAGATCTTAGTACATGATGGTAGAGTTATTGACAGCAATTGTCTTTGTTTTTCAGATTGCTGCTGCTAATCTGTTAGGTGCGCTGCTGGTCTGGGTGAAAAAGAGTGTTGCTGATCTGTGTGGTTTGCTGCTGATATCTGTGTGGATTGCTGCTGTGAAGTTTGTTGCTACTATGGATTTTGTCCTGTTTCTTGATGGTTGGTAGTTGTTTGGTTGTTTGGTTTGTATTAGGTTTGGTTAGATTGTACTGGGGTGAGGTTGATTGAGGTGTTTGTGGTTGGTTTCTCACCAACTCACTACGACAAAAAACACTTTTAGCGACCTGTTTTTTAGTCACCAAAAGTGTTATTTTGGTTACTGAAAGTATCCGCGACATGAACAAAATTGGTGGCTGAAGCCCTGTCACTAAGTGCTTCGGCGACCAAATCAATTTTGGTTGCCTTTATAAATAAATTGGCGACCAAATATTTCCGTCGCCAAAAGACTAAAATTTCGTCGCCATAAATTAACATTTAGTCACCAAAAGTAGCTTTCAGCTGATGACATGTTAAGTTTCAGCGGCATATAAATGCGTCGCTAAAAATATCTTTCAGTGACTAAAAGAATTGGTTATTGAATGTTAAAACTTTTGGCGACCAATTAAGTTTTGGGTCGCTAAAAAAATTGACACATACTTTCACCAACATAAATAAAATGTCACCAAAAGTAAATTTACAACTAAAAAAATCTGTCACCAAAAATTCATTATTTATAATTTTTTTTAACAATTTCCCTGTTCAATACATAATTCATAAACCTATAAACATAAGCAAAATATAATTCAAATTAACACACTTGTGCAAAGCATCCAAAATATAAACTTAATTCAAAAGTAGTACCATATTAAATATAAACAACATGTCAAATCCAAAACATCCAATTTAAGTACAAATCTCTTACAATCCCAAACTTGAAACATGTAATGCCCAAAAACCTTCTAAGCTTGCAAATTCATAACAAAAACCTATGACAAAATATATCCAAAAATTCAAAATGTAATCCTTTGATGCTCCCCGAACTATATTTCATCCATTGCCAATTTGTCAAACATGCGAAAAAAACTTCAAACATGTAATTCCAAAAAACCTTCCAAGCTTGCAAATTCATAACAAAAACCTATGACAAAATATATTCAAAAATTCAAAATGTAATCCTTTGATGCTCCCTGAACTATATTCCATCCATTGCCAATTTGTCAAACATATGAAAAAAAAAAATTATAATGTTAAAATGTTCAATTCAACAATAAGAGAGAAGGAACAATCACTAGCAATGGTGGTGGTAAATTAATTAGACCAACAAAAAATGTGTTAATGCTGACACCAACGACCAATCAGCAGCAATGCTAATTGATGAGTCCAACACAAATTTTGCTTAGCAACTTGAATTATCAAAATAACTCCAGCAAAATTGATAAACTTTGTAATTTATAGAATCCAACAAATAACATCCAATGTCACAATGCTCACTTGCATGTAGAATGTGTTGAAGTCATTGTAACCATCCCTGCACCAAAAAAAGGCAATCATTGTAAACATTTATGTAAATAGTGGCAATGGGTAACAATTGGCTTATGCATATAACGGATGTTAGGCAGAAAAGATTATCTATTTTTCCATTTTGTAAGAGACACAAAAAGACATAAGAATATAAAATTTAATAAAAATTAGTGGAAAAATTATATATGATAAACAAAATACAACTTTAAATTTACAACTGTATAATTAAGGACGGCAAAGGAAATAAAATATCAGAACTCAAGAGTAGAAAAGTCATTCACAATGCAACAATCGTGGACTGTGGTGATTGTATCAGTGATAATTAAGGCAAATTGAAAATCTTAGAAAACACTTAAGAGATTCTGAGTTGAATGAATTCATGTGAAAGGAATTGTCAAGATGTTCCATAGGCTTCATAGATGATGTCAAAAACATCTTAAATGCCATTAGATAATTGCAGTCCACATAAAGACAACAGTTGCTCGCTTACAGCAAAATCAAAACTGCATAAATGAGCTAGAGCTCAATTTAAGGCCACTGAAGCCAGAAAATGCAAAGCACTACTATAGAGTGGCAACAACAGGACTTCCACGCTCAAGATCACTTCATGAGAGAAAGTGGAAATGACAGAGGTAAAGCTGTGCGATAATAGTTCTTAGTTACAAAGAAGTAAAGATTGAGGCAAAGATGACTCAAATTCAACTTAACTTTGATGAATTATAGAGACAAAACTACTTCATGTGAGCAACATCTTAGCTAGACTAGAAATTTATAATTAATGATGAAGAAAGGACTTCTTTGCATGAAGTTACAGGAATCATAATCTTAATCAAGATAGGGTTGAAATGATCACCATTGAGAACTAAAAGTTGACATGGTGCATAAAACAAAACCGAAACCAGAGTAATAGGAAGTATATTTATGATAACTATTTACCTATACATGGCCTTCTTTAGCCAATGACTAAAGAAGGTTAGAATTTGGACAAAAAATACCCCAGTCCCTTTCCTTTGTCGACTACAATGAGGGCAATATTGTAACTCTAAAACCTCATCTTTTTTCCCCCTACATACCAGATCTGCAACCCACTGTTTTATCATCACTTCCAGCAAAAAGCCCCCTATTGTAATTCCTTGTCCGTCACTGTCCATGCTTTTAAGCTTTGGACCATTAGAATTTCTGGTAGAGTTTTGATTTGTGTAAGTAACGGCATGACAAGTGGACGTATGGAGTCTTGACAAGAGCAAGAAGATGGTTAGGTTGGACAATAGATAAGAACCCTATAATTTACCAAGTCTGAGGCAAGAGAGGGGTTCCTTTTGGAAGAATCATGAACATATGGTGGCTGCCCCTTTCCTTCTCTCTCTCGGCTCCACCCTCACAGCTTCTCTTCTTTTCCTTTCACCTCTTCTCCTCTTCTCATTGTACAGGTTGTCGTCTTCCTTCTTCATCTCTTCCTTGTTCTTGTGGCAAAAGAACCCTATAATTTACCAAGTCTGAGGCAAAAGAGGGGTTCATTTTGGCAGAATCATGAACATATGGTGGCTGCCCCTTTCCTTCTCTCTCTCGGCTCCACCCTCACAGCTTCTCTTCTTTTCCTTTCACCCTCTTCTCCTCTTCTCATTGTACAGGTTGTCGTCTTCCTTCTTCACCTCTTCCCTGTTCTTGTGGCAAATGATGGTTCAATTCAAAGGCTCCTCGGCACTGTATTGACTGATAAGATCCAACCCTATTTTAGTTGTTTGCCTTAATTTGATCCTTTACTTTCTTCTTCTTTTCCTTAATATTATTTGTTTAAAGATCATAAGTACCAAACTCTGCTCACTCAAAATCTTTTTGGATCATCTTCTTTATGATTTAAATTTTAGTTCGTCGAGTTCTAGCCCTCAAAGACAAACTTTCTTTCCCCTTTGCTCATAGTTGTTAGCTAAGTTTCACTATTATGCTTTATAGCATTTGTGGATGTCTGAAAACATCTTAAGCTTGTGATAGAGTTTAGTTTGTTACTGGAAAATCTTTTCATGTTGCCTTCGCTAAATTAAACTTAGCATAGGCCTCATAGATCGCGCTAGATGATGCGAAGGGTATTGAATACATTCACGATCACACTAAAAAAAAAAAAAGCAATTTGATGAGAATATATTGGATGACCTTCGAAAAAAAAAGAAGGTACAGATTTTGATGATCAAGACTATACATACCTTGTTTGCCCACATGCATTGCAGAGTGTCCTTGGTTCAGCTGGGCCACGATGCATTGCAGGAGTAGAATTTTCACCAACACCACAATGTTGACATCTTCGAACACTGGACAATATTGCAAAAAATGATATTCACTGTAAAGATTAATTAGGAGGAAGATAGTGAAGTATCGGTCTATATATTTAAAACAGCAATTTGAGATTCAGGTTGCCACTTACACAGTTTCTGGACGAGGTGTGCCATCTCCTTGAAGGCAACTCTTAGTAAAATCCCAACTAGAAGAGGCTGAATTTTCTTTCAAGGAAGCAAACTGACAATTCTTCCGATGCATCCTATTAGGATAATACATATAGAAGGAAAAGTTATACTCACAAATGCTAACACCTCTTACATCAGAATAATCTTTTCTTTTTTCTTTTTCTTTTTTTTCTTTTTTTCTTTTTTTTTTGGGTTGTTGTTGTTGTTGTTAGTTATACTAAAATAATCATTTCACATTCAAATTTCGAACCACTAAAAATCCTATCAAAATAATTGTAACCAAGGGCAAATTGAATGCAGTAAGGATTTTACCAAAATGATTGGGACTGAGGGTTTTGGAAGAAAAGTTCTTCTCATATCAAATATAACCCTACTAAATAGAGGGTTTGCTCATATATTTATGTTTATCCTTAACTTGGAGTATCTAAATCTCCTAAATTTCTTATATATTCCATATTGTTTTGACCAAAATGCACTAACCAATATATAGAACATTTTATGGGACCACAAAAATATGACCTATAGAAGTTAAAAAGTTCTACAGATGTAAACGGATATGATAATACAAAACTCGTTGTGGAGTTAGTACAACTGTGGAACAAAGGCCTGAAGCTTTTGGGTAACACCAGTGTGCCCCAACCCATTTCCAAGGCATTCGGATGGGAACCATAGGCCTCCTTTATGTCTCTCTCCCCAAAAGAAAAATAAAGAGAAGAGAGCATTCCAAATACGCCACACCCAATATATTCTCATCAACTAGCTAAAGCAACAATCTCAATCCCATATAAACATGAAAACTCACAAATCTATGAGTGCATACATACACATACATAACCATGAATATACCCAAAATAAAAAATAAAATAAAATTAGGCATTCGGCACTGCTGCCCAGCGGTGCTATGCCGTTGGCATTCGGCGGCGCGAGAAAGCAAGAGGGAGAGGGAGAGGGACTACATTCAGAGCATCAGAGGCAGAGAAGAGAACAGAGCAGCGACCCAAAAAGAGGGTCGCGATCTGCTGCCGCCCAGTGTTGCTGCCGCCGAGCACTGCTGTGCCTTTCGTATTCAGCGGCGCGAGAGAGTAAGAGGGAGAGAGAGAAGAAGAAGAGAAGAAGAACATACCTGATCTGTGCTGTGCCGTTCTGTGCTATGCCGTTTCAGATGGATGAGAAAATGAGAAGAAGTTAGGTCAATTGTTTGTTTATTCACTTGTCAACAATTTTTGGCAATAAAAAATTAGGGTAAACACAAATAATTTATTGGCAACCAAATTAATTTGGTTGCCATAAATGTTATTCAGATTTTTAGCGACCAAGTAATATTTGTATTTGGTTGCCATAAATGTTATTCAGATTTTTAGCGACCAAGTAATATTTGTCGCCAAACAAATACAATTGGCGACTAAATTTTCCGTCACTATAAATTAATTTGGTCGCTGAAAAGTTTTTAGCGCTCCCGCGCAAGAAATTCACTTGGCGCCAAAATCAATAGCGACCAAAATTATAAATTTGTCGCCAAAAGTTTATTTTTTAGTGATCACAAATTTTCTGTTGCCCATTATGTATCTTTGGCAATTGAATTTTTGTTCGGTTGCTAAAAAGTGTCGCCAAAAATGCTTTTTGTTGTAGTGACTCCTGATGTTGTGCTAGCATATGATTGGGCGGTTTTATTGGTCCCAACCTAGTTGGGATTTATTTGGTTCGTTATAATGCTTTTTGCACTCATCCTCCTTTTCTTTTTTGATGTAATTGTTTTCTGTTTCATCAATAAAATTCATTTTCTTTGTTGATCAAAAAAAAAGTACACAGCAGTAGAGGCCCAATCTAACGAGAATACAAAATCTGAGGGTTTTTTTTTTTTGGTACTTACGTAAAGGTCCTAATAAGTGGACTTATTGTCTAATAGGTCTTATAGAAAAAATTTGTCATAAAAATACGTTACTAATTGTAAGTTTTAGCGACAATTTATAAAAATCATGATGAAAAAAATCACTAATTGTCAATTTTTAGCAACATATATAAAGAATTGTCACAAAAAAATTATATTTTTAGCGACAATTTTATCAAGATTTATCTTCAATAACACTTGATGGTAATTAAGTCCAACTATTAAGACTTATTGATAGTTTACCCATTTTTTATTTTTTTTTCGTTTTTGGCACACGCGTGTGTAATTTTTCTTAAAACTTTTGTGGTGTTTCGTGGAAACGATGGTAGAAATATATGAAAGAAGACTTAGTTGTTGCTATCAGTAGCTGGGTCTTCCATATGAGCTGGGAAAGAAAAAGTAAAAGTGAAAGAAAGAGCTAGGGTTGACATGTTGACTGTCCTAATGTAAGAAAATGATATAAGGAATGTGTGGTGATGGTGAGTAGTTGAGTAAAGGATATATAAATAAATAATAATAATAATTGGTGAAAAAATTTAATTTAAAGTGAGTATAAGATATTATATTTAATAAAAAATCTTATTTAATGATAAAAATATTTATTTGTCAAATATCTATTAACACTAAAAAAAATTGATATATTTTTTTCAAATGTAACACTCTAATGTAACACACTAAAAAATTCTTTAGTATATTTTTCTCAAATGTAATAACGTAACATTTCAAAAAAAAGTTGCTTAGTGTATTTTTTTTCTAAACGTAACACTCCAATCAATGTAACAATATAAAAACTCTATAGTGTATTTTTTTTCTAAACGTAACACTCTAATGTAACGTTCCAATGTAACACCAACAACCACGCTAATAAAACGTAAATTTTCACGCTCGACATTAAGTATTTCTGCCATCAATCCTCCCAAAAAGAATTTTCCACCCCTCACCTTTACATTCCCATCCCAAAAACAAATCAGAAAATTGAAAAAATATATCACAAAAAGGTATTTACTTAAATTCAAATAACACGAAATCAAATAAATACAACTTTTAAAACAAAAAGGACTAGTTGATTCATAAGAAAATCTTAAGATTAAATAGATCACCATTCCTCCATATTAATTTTATCGATAAATTTTTCTTAAAAGTAATGATTAAATTGGAGAAAAAAGCCATTTAAAATTAAAAAGTGATTCTCTAACTATTTATTTTGATAATCTTAACCTTATCGTTCCATAAAAATATTATTTAAACAAATATATATAATAATTTTATTTCAATTATTTATGTGTATTTTAATAACCTTAACCCTATCATGCTATAAAAGTGTAACTGAAATAAATATATAATGATTTTGTATGATATTGAATTATAACATAGCAAAAGAAGCATTAATTTTGATATTAAAAATAATAATTATAAAATTAAAAGTGAAGAGATGAGAGATGCACCACATAGGAGAGAGAAAAAATTTAAAGTAAAACACTATTTTTAATAAAAATAAAAAATTAATAAACCAAATACAAAAAATCAAAAACCAGAAGGAATGTAGAAGAACTTACAGCAATTGAAGAAGTAATGTCGCGATTAGATTAAGAAAAAATAGATAAATTAATTATGTTGAGTATTGATTTTTCTTTAATAGTTATTTTCTTTAATATATTATATATAATTATATATATGTATATAAAGTTTAAATTAAAAAAAAAAACATATTTAGGCCCAAACAAATTTGGCCATCAATTTTGTAGATGAAATGATCTGAACCATTAATGATGCCATATAGAACAAAAATATACATTTTTCCAAAATTTCTTCTATCATATTATATAAATATTTGAGTGTATATTTCGAAAATAATTTTTACAAATTTAAAATTCAAAGCTTATTAGTGTGCAAGGAAGGTGCTAGGAAATTTTTGTGTGTAACGAAGGTGCTAGGAAACTTTTGTGTTGCAACCTGTGTGTAGTGGATATAGAGAGAGGATAGTGGAATGATGAAAGAGGAGAAAATGGTGGGAGAAGAGAGGAGAGGTGGGCAGAAAATATATTTTGGTCCAAATAAATTTGGTCATCAATTTTGTAGATGAAATGATTTGAACTATTAATGATGTCAAGTAAGACAAAAATATATGATTTTTCTTTAATATAGTACAAAAATATACATTTTTTCAAAAATCCGTCGACTATTATATAGATATTTGAGTGTATATTTGGAAAATAATGTTTACAATTTTGAAATTCAATACTTATTTAGTGTGCAAGGATGGTGCTAGGAAACTCACGGGTAGCAATTTTGGCCATGTTTGATTGGGGGTTTGGGAGGGTGGATTGGATTAGCAATTCGTGGGACCTACCAAACCCTTGTTTGGATGCAACACAATGTGATAGGATTAGTAGTGAAGGGGACTTAGTAATCTCCCACTGTAGGGGGATTAGCTTGGGTGAATTTTAGGTAGGATTAGAAAAATAGTGAGGAGATTTAGTGCCATTTTGGGAACATGGTAACGCCAAAAAAGCCATTTGGCAAGTGCTAAAACGCAGCCCTAAAATTACAAATTAGGGCCTATGAAAAATAAATAAAAAAATAACTCTCTTATGTTGGGTAAGGGTATTTTGGTCATTTTAATTTGATTTGACACCATAAATAAATATTAAACTAAAAAGCAAAAAGTCAACTTTTTACCAACTTCCCAAATCACTTCCAAAAAAGTCAAAAAGGTTGGTTAAAAGCCAAAAGCCAGCTTTTTACCAACTTCCCAAAACACTTCCAAAAAAACCAAAAAACCAGTACATTATTTTTAAATTTTGGATAAAAACAAACATAAAATAATTGATTGAAGATATGTTGCATTTTTTATACTCCTTCTGTATGCAAAAAAAATAAAAAATAAAATCGCAATTCACATATATACAAATAATTGTATACACAACCCATACATAACACGGGTGAAACACTAGTAAGAAAATGATGAAATAGCAGAAACTAGTACTAGAGCCCCAATATACAAGATACTAACGCTATATTTGGTTGGGAGATTTGGAGAGAGATCTTGGATACGGAAAGGGAAAGGGAAAAAGTGTATGAAACTAGGTGAAATGTAAGTATATTTTATTTACATTTCACTTATCTTTTTCATTTCCCTTTTCAAATTCCTCTTCAAATCTCCCAACCAAATATAACATAATGAGGGGGTAAATTCAACATGGTATTCATTTTCTGTTTTCTGTTCTCATTTTTCAGAAAGCACAAAGGCCCTGTTTGGTAGGACTTATTTCCAGCTTATTTCAAAATATTTTAAATATTTTTAAAAAATAAATCAAAATTTTTTTAAAATACAACTTAAAACTTTTTTCAAAACTCATAACCAAATACATAACTCAAAACTTCACATTATTTTCAAAACTTTACACTCAAATCATAACTAACACTAACACATAACAAAAAAAATTAAAATATTTAAAATAAAAATTATATATTTAATATAAAAATTAATAATTTTTTAAAATAATTAATATTTAAAAAAATACAACACATAAATGTATGAAATATAGTGCACAATAAAATAAATAAATAAATATTTAAAATATAAAATATTTACTATAAAAAAATCAAATTAAGTAAATTTTTAAATATCTAAAAAAATAAATCCAAAAAAATTTAAAATACAACTCAAAACTCAAAATAGAATTCAAACCTTTTTCAAAACTCATAACCAAACAAATTTTCTTTTTTCAAAACTCATAACTCAAAATATGACTCCACACTTGAATCTTGATTCTAAAAATAATTTTAAAAAACAAAACAAAAAAAATATTTTCTTGAATTTTTTCTTTTAAAATAGAGTTTTAAAAAGCGTTTGGTTTTAAGTTTTGAAAAGAGTTTTGAATTGTGTGTTTGGTTATGAGTTTTGAAAATAAATTTTGAATTGAGTTTTGAGTAATTTCATATTGTGTATTTGATTATGAGATTTGAATTTTTTTTTATTGAAATTGTGATTCTAAAAGAGAATGAAGGAAAATGAGTGAAAGCACTAATTAGTGCTACCACTAATGATGCACCCACAGCCACAGTGTATGTTGTGCCTTGTTTTTTTTTTCTCTTTATTTTCCACCTCACTAGTGGTAGATTTAGAGCTCATTATTTAGAGCTCTAAATCATTACTAGAGAATCAAATGTGGCCTTCGTGTTGGAACATGTGTGTAGTGGAGAGAGAGAGAGTAATGGAGTGATTACAGAGGAGAGAAGTGGTGAGAGAAGAGGAGAGATGGGCGAGAAACATATTTTGGCCTAAGAGCATCTCCAACGGTGAAACAAATTTTTCACCAAACTTG